TTTCAACAATTACTCGACAACTTCTGTATGATGAGTAACCTGATACAGCAATCGTTGTGATTGATGGAATATGTGTATATATACATATATATAAGTAAAGAAGGATATTTGATTTTTTTTTGTTTTTTTTTTGAATTGAATGTGACATGTTTTTCTACTAGAAATCGAAATATAATGAATTCTAAAGAGAAATCATTCAATCTTCACAAGAAACGATCTCAATTGAAGCCAATGATGATGATTATATCTACCACTGATTACATCATTGATTGCATCAGACCTTTACTTTCGAATTCTTCAAATAACAATGTCTCGATCATGAATAACATATTGTATTGAAATATAGATCAAATATTGGACTGATTGAATGAAATAGTTTTTTCAGTATGTACAGATTAAATATTGTCTCTTATGTATCAATAGAACTTTTATAGACACATAACCATGAAATGATGAATCATGTACAATTTCATTTTTCTTGTTCTTTTTTTATTATTTAATGGAATGTATATGAATTACATGACAATAATCATATAATAAATATATTTTAAATTATATATGATAACAACCATAATGAAAAACCATTATAATACTTAAATAATAAACAAGCAAAGGAAAAATGAACCTGCATATGATTCATCATCTCATGGTCATTTATGCATATTTTCGTTTCAAGGTGATATCGTACATTGTGGATAGAGGCTTCCGTGACTCTGTTCACACAATAAAAATTCTTGGCTTGAATATTGCCTCACCTGCTTTCCTAAATAGACGTCAACAATTTACGTCATCTGAAGCTAAACAATCGAGATGTGTGGCGAAAGTTTAATAACTGGTGAAAGCAGCGAATGCTAGAATTAAGCAATTCAAATTCCTACCAAGCATTATACCAAATTCCTCATTCCAGAATCTCAAACAATATCGTTCGATCGATTGTCCGATAATTAATAGATATCGACCATCAATAAAAACTTCAACTACGGTGGATATTGTAATCGCAAGAGAAAATGACTTTATTTCTCAGTCAAAAAAAGAAGCCTAAAATGGTGATTTCTATTATTGTCTCATAGCTTTGATCATGTTGTCCTTTCTAATAATCAAGTTCCTCGGAAATATTAATTTTAAAAAACATTCATCAAATTGGGAAGTAATTAATCATACATGTCTTACTCATGAATTTCTCATGCTATCTGAAGATGAAATATTCAATAATATTACTCACGATATTCAACTCTTTCCTCGATGTTCTCATATCTATATTTGTTTTTTGTTCTTCTTCTTAAGTGTTTTCTAGCGAAAACATGCTCGATCGTATACTAAAGAAGAACCGTCCACTGCAGATCTCGCCGAGTCTGTGAATTACACTATTCATAGATGCAAGAAATTGTCAAATCTCATCCGAGTGCTAATTCAGGCAGGGCATGTGAATCGATTAAAATATCATCCAACAATTTGATTCACAACAGAAGAACTATTGGATTGGTAGTGTGATTGTCTTGTTGAAGATCATTTCTTGAGGTACTGCAGTCATATCGCATTTGTTATCTAGTTTTTATCATTCGAGCGGTAGCAAATACCATTGTGTCGTATGTCATCAAGAAACTTTATCGACTACGTCATTGATACTGGTGTATTTCTAGAATTTTCGGATTTAAGAGATGAAAGCGACTATGGCGATGATGACAAATAATAGTTATTACAGGAAACCAAACTCCCATGGATGCCTCTTGTTTCTGAACTTTTCCATATGAACATAGCTTTTGAGAATACATCTAGTTTATTGGCTTGCGCAACTCCTTTTCTATTAATATGATACAATAAAACTTCATTGTCTCTAGTTATATTAACATTTCTATATGCATAAGTTCGAGAAGAATACAGTTCTGAAACTTTTCAAAAGATGAATAAGAAATAGAAAATGTATTTAAACTCTATTCTAGATAATAATTGTCTTTTTTCATAATTGATAATATTATGTAAATGCTTTTATTATGATTCTATTATAGAACTTGAAACTCTTCTATAATAGTATTATTTGTAAAATACAAATGATGGTTACTGTTGCTTGAGAATAAATGATCAATTGGATTTTATTTCATAGCCAACCAACAATTTAAAATATTAGAGAATTTTTCGTACAGACGAATATATTGATGACAAATTATGCCTATCTTTTCCTCTGCATTGAAAACTAAAAGAAAAATATCAAGATAATTGTCAACTGTCTTATTCAGAAGTTCTATAAGATTTAACAGTATTTTATATATTTTCTGAAGATGGTTGATAGTTTGAAAATATAGCACTTTAGAAATGCAGCAGTAAAACACAAATTTTTTGGAAAAAAAAACTTATTAATATGTGGATTCCTGAGGCTAGTATTAACGTACTACAAACAAGTCTTTAATTCTATGAAACAATGAAAATAAACTTTCGAACTATTGTTTAGAATATTAGATGAGAGTGCGTGAATTCCATATTTTTGTCTTTAATTGGCTGCATTAATAAGAGAAATGGGATCAGTGACCGGCTGGCCTATTGCTAGACTGGTTCATTACCGGTATATGATGTCTCTTTTCGTCATTTCACAGGAAATGTTTGTCGAAGTTAGACAAATCAATTCGTATAAATGATGAATAAATCTAACCAACCTTCACCTGTATTAGAATGCAAGTTCTCTAGTCAGTGTAGTGGCTACGAAGATAGAACAGATATCGGCTCGGTTTTTAGGTCAGCTGATTGACAGTACGCAGTATGGATCTTGATAAAGGAGAGCTGACGATACTAACACTTCTCACTTTTTTATGTCGTGACCACCGAATTGTAGTGAAAATTCTCGATTAATACCAAGCCGAATGTCGTCAGAGACTATCGGATTTTATACTATCTCTGTACAAATTTCCACTACACTCCCTTCATGTTACCGTAATCTTCGGACGCTAACGCGAGCCCTGTTGATGGCCTGTTTTGAATCACTGTTTCGGCATATACATGTTCATAATACTTGGAAACTCGATCGCTCAGTGATATTTTAAACTAAAACTCAATAGTCAAACAAAATTTCAACATAAACAAACGGCTTTCTGTTGTTAACGCATGAGAGATCATCGCTCTTATCGAACTGCTGAGGCACGTCATAATGAGCAAATAATGATATCATTTTTTGTCTTTTTAAAGATACAGTCTACAAGTAAGGTCCATTGGACTGTTTCACTCTCACTCTTATGATGAATACCCTAAATATAACCTGATTTAGAACGTCAAATAATATTTCGATATTGTGACAAGGTTTTTAGATGTTTTTAAGCAGTCATTGTGATCTGATAAAATAGCTGCGATTGTATCGAGCATATTTTAGATAAAACTGACGTTAAGTATCGCGATTAAAACGATTCTAGATCGAGAAGCATGAAAAATATCATCCAACTAACTTTCAATTTATCTAAACTGTACCGAAAAACGATAAAAATAGCAGACATGCACAAGTATTATGGGAAATATGCTGTTTATTAAATCAAATGTAATCAAAAACATCACTTTTTTATAAAAAAAAAAAAAAAGTAAAAAGCTCGATTTAATCAGCTTAATAAAAAGAATCTGACTTCAATTGTTTCCCCTTGCAACAGCTGCATTACTTCATAATCTTTTTAATATCTAGAATTATCAAAATAGAGTATTTATCTGACATTAATGATCATCATGTAACCGTATCAACATCAGCTTTGATTAGATAGTTTTGTTCAAAAGGATGATTTTCATGAAAACTAAATGTTTTGTTATAATAAAATATGATCAAATTAGATTTATTTAACAATGTTAATGTATTTTGTCCATCAGAAGTTTCTTTCAAAATGAATAAATCTATTAGTATTATTTTGTTTCGTATAGTCTTTTGAAAAAAACAAAGTCTTGTTCATTTCGTTCATAACTATCAATGCTTCACAATTAATCATCAAGTTCAAAGATGCGAAGAATAATATAAAATATGATCAAAAGAAATACGACAAGTCGTAAACAGAATTGTTACCTAAGTTCAGATTCAACCTATAAGCCCCCTGATGTCAGTCAATTATATATTTTGTTCTGTTTTGAAAAGATATTGCATTTTGCTTTTATTTTTCTCAAAACGTCAAAAGAATCATGGTGTTGCTTGTGAAAAAAATGCAGATTGAGTTGAATCATTTTCAAAAAACAAGGATAAAAAAATATGATTGGCCTAGAGTAGAGGAATGATAGGTGGAATCTGACCTTAGATTATTTCAGCTAAAATAAGCATATTCGTAATTATTACAAAATTTCTATAAATAGAATATTTTAAAAAGAACTCTCGAGGCAACATTCAAATACATTTCGTTATTATCTTTATGCTCAACTAGAGTAAGCTATAATTCGAAGAGAATACTCAAAAACTTCATCTTTTATTTTATTCTTTTCACCAGTTTATTGCTATTAGAGATAACCTACACAATTAACTCAAATAAGAAGCAAACAAGGTTATATGGTCGTCTTCACTTGTTGATTCACACTTAAAGATATCTAAAAACATTAGCATCTTGTGCAAATAACACTTGACCATAATATATACAAACATTTTTATAACTTCAAGTTTTAGTCAATAATTTTACTATGCGTGCATAGAACAAATTGCAACACGAGATTATCTAACTAAGATTGTTATACATACACAGCTATATTGAAATGAATTTATATGAAACAAAATGATTCTATTATTTGAGTTCTTTTCAAGTTTAATTCTATTGAATGAAATAGAGTTTTGCCATAGATGGCGATATTTGATAAAACAATGACAGCAAGTCAGTAAAAAATTCTTTTTTTTTCTTGAATTAAAAAATAGACATCACTAACTTTCACAAAATTATAAATGAAAATATTTTCTCATTTTTATATCGAGTTATACGAAGAAATATCTTTCGTTTCCTAGCAACAATTATTATATCACTATAACTTATGACATCTGATTGACAGGTAATTCTATTCAATTAATGGCTCAAACACGTGTTTTAATGTATGCTATTTCTCTACATATAAATAAAATAAATAATTATTTTATTTTTTCATAGAAAATATGGTCCATATAAAAGTTTTTCCGGTATTGAACATAAGACTGATCGTATAAAGGGTCTTGAAAGTAAATTATTCTTTTTATTTAACTATATTTATCATTGACTATTTCTTTTAGCTTTTTTAATCAATCTTGGCTATTCAGTTAATACTCAGTCTATTCCAATTCGTAATGTATGTGAAGTTCATGTTTATGATTTAAAAGTATTCGAATGTGATATTCGTAATCTTCAATTTGGTGGCGATGGTGAATTAGATGATTTATGTCACGAAGCTCTTCGAAAAATAACCGATGTTACATCACCGTCATCAACTGCATGATTAATAAATTTTTTATTTTTTTTGTAATAATCAATTAAAGCTGTTTAAAAGAAAAAAGAGTTGTTTTTTTAGTTTATTTTGGTCCAGTAAAATGTTTTTTTAATGAAGACCAACATTTAAAATAATCATGATCAATACCTGCAGATGTTGTCATACTCCATTTTGTTAATGCAAAACTTAAAGATGATTCAAACATGAATGCTAATGAATTTTCAGCTATACGCATTGGTTTAAGTTCATCTGTCATAGCTTTTTCACAACAATCAGCATCTGGACCATGTGGTGTCATACAACTATGAAGTGTTGCACCACCAGCTTGAAAACCTTCTGCTTTTGCTTCATATTTTCCGGTTATAAGACCCATAAATTCACTCATACAATTACCTTTCATATCAAAGTATTAGAATTTTTTTTTTAAACTTCATTTGTACATACGATGATAATACGGTGGTCGAAATGTATGTTCTTGAACAGACCATCGAGGTGGAAATATAACAAAATCAGCGACAGCTGTACCAGGTTTTAATGAAGGACATGTTAAAACAGTAAATATTGATGGATCCTATTAAAAAAAAAGACAAACATACTCTTGAAATTCACAACAAAAAAAAAAAAGAAAAACATACCAAATGATCAATTGATACAGAATTAACCACAACAAATTTTCGTAAATCATATTTATACGGTGCATAATTACCATGCCAAGCAACAACATCAAAACATGAATGTTTCTTTAAAGAGAAAATTGTATTTAGAAATAATATTTAAAAATATTTACTCGTTTTGATTCAAATAAACTTCCTTGATATTTATGAACAACAGTAAAATCACAGTCGCGATCTTCATACCAAGCTTTAAAAATACCGAGAAAAAAATTTATCAAAAGAAAAAACAACAAGAATTTTTTGTTGTTATTACCAGTTGGTATTTCAAAATCACGTGGATTTGCTAAACCATTCGCTCCTATAAAATAGAAAAAATAAACAAAAAAAAAACAACCTATCGATTCTAAATTTTACCAATTGGTCCTAAATTTGGTAAATGAAAATGATCATCAAATACTTCAAGGACATAACCACGTGATGGCTCATCAATAGCCACTGAAAATCGAATTCCTTGCTAAAAATAAAATTGTTTTATTTCTAATCATCAAACTTATTAATCAAATACTTGAATGACACATATTTCTTGTGGTTTAACCAACATTCGACCAAGCTCTGTTGTTATACGTAATGATCCATGTTGTGGAACTATTCAAAAAAAAAAGAAGTAATCAAAATCACAAAAACAAAATGAATAGGTTACCAATAAGTAAATCTCCATCAGCATTACAAAAAGCTCGATTATCCATTGAACTATTACAGCCATAAATTGAAATTGAAGCGCCATGACGAGAACATGGATCACCAGCACCACATACTGTTGCTAAACCCTATTCAAATAAGATTCTTTCCACTGTATTATGATTTTTGTTTTTCTATTTACATCAAGAAAATCTTTCTTTTCATCTTTAGTGGATGGGATAGAAAATGGTTTCCAACGCATTTGATTTGGATTAGGTTCTGACAGATCCCATCGGTTTGTCAGTAAACCAGATTTAATCGGACTAAAAGGTTCATGAAGTACAGCTGGTAAAATTCGATAAATCCAACTAAAAACAAAATATTTCTATTTGTTTAGTTAATAAATTGAATTATTTACGTTCGTTGATTTGTTTCTCTTGGTGCTGTAAATGCTGTACCAGATAATTGTTCAGCATAAAGATCATATGGACAATTTTGAGGTGTATTCTTTAAATAAAAAAGAACGATAGAAAATAAGGTTTTTTTTCGAATAATTTTACCTGATTTTTTGGTAATGCATTTGGACAACGTGGATCTTCGGACTCAAAATGATTACCGAAACCATTAAGATACTACAAGAAAAATAATATATAAATGTTTTTTTTTTTTACAAGACTACAAATTTGTTGCTACTTTTAAGTCTTCCCAATCAGCGTGCATTTTTCAGTTATTATAAAACAAAATGCGTCTGATAAAATGTGTTAATACTTATCTAATGTCAATAGAAGTGCACACACCTTCGTTTTAGCCGTGTGATTCTTTCATTTGTTCGTCTTTTGTTTTTCTTATCTTTTTCTATTGATTTCTTCTATTACGTCATTGTCTTCTTTTAACTTTTTCATGATAAGATAGGATTCGACTCTTTATTGTTGCTTACTGAAATGTATACGAAACAGACAAATAGAAATAAGATTCAATTGCATGTCAAGAGCTAATTTTTTACTTTATTAATAATCAGTATTTATCTAGAGAAAATAAAACGAAAAAAAAATGCTGAAAGAAAATAAAGAGGTTTCTTACTAAAAAAGAAATCATCTGTTGGGCACTATTTATAATGAGCAAATATTGATCAAATACAACATATATGTATAAAAGAAACATGAAAGCCAAGCAAGCATTTACTTGCTCTTTATAGAGAATTGATCAAGTGGACAGTTTGATTCTTTTTTTTTTTTCTCTAGCAAGTGTTAGAGACACTAAATCATATAGAACGCGAGAGAAAAGGTAAAGTATTTGTTATTGTACTTTGCATCTGTAAGTATGATTTATGAAAGATATTATAAATAGAACGAACCGCAGACGTAAAGACCACAATTTAGTAAAGGAACTCGGTATCGTAATTTTATTCGGAGGTAACCAATTCAAACGGTAGGCAAAAGCAAATAGTAATAGTTATTATAGAAGTACCAGCAGGATATAAGTATAAATTTTATTTTTCACTATTGTACAAAATATTCATTTTATCAAAAGCTTCATTTTATTTTTTCTTATTAGAGAAATAAGTATCAAAATATGGATCTTGAATATACAGTAACAGAAAATATTCATCGTAATAATAATGGTCAAGTTGTTCAAATAGATTATCAATTTGAAGAAACAACTATAGTTGAAACATCATCAAGTTCATCATCAAGTATAACACGACAAAATAAAGAAAAACGAAATCGTACATATAATGCAACAATAACACGTACACAATATCAAAATCTTGTACGACATCTTTCAAATTCATTACCATTTGATGCATTCGTTGATGTTTTACGTCCATTTATAATGGGTTTTTATTCAAGTGATGAACTTCAACGTGCATTTTATATATTAGATCGTGATCATTCTGGTTCCATACATATTAATGAATTAAGTTCATTTTTACCTATATTAAATGATACAATGGATAGTGAAGCTTTAAAAAATTATGTACGAAAAGTTGATCAAAATTTTGATGGAAAAATGAATTATGATGAATTTCGTGCACTTGTTTTACGTGGTATTGGCCGAGATATTATTTGTAATCATTTATAAAAACAAAACATTTTTCTTTTACTTTCTCTTCTTTTAGATATTTTAGTTTTCTTCTTGCTTTTTAATTTAACCAATTGATCTTTTGTGTTATCATGACACAAAATAACAAAATAAAAAAAAGACACAAAAAAAAACAACAAAAAAACAAATATCTCGACTATTTAGTTTTGTCGAGTTTATAAATAAGGAGAACATTTTTAGCTGATTTAACTGTCCACCATCGTCCAAGTCGATGTTCTTGACCAATAGCAACAACTAAATAATTACCATCAGATGAAAATTTAAGATCATTAACAAAACCAAGCTAAAGAATTTATAAATAATAAAATATGAAATATAAAAAAAGAAGAAAATCCTACTTGTATTAATGTAAAAAGATGTGTTAAATGATTAAATTCTGGTGTTGATTTCCATAAATGAATATTTCCATTAAATGAACCTGATGCAAGTAAATCAGTATAACGAAGTGAAGCTAATGATGTTATCCAAAACTCTTCGGGTAATGATGATGGTATTAAAGATGGATCAATTGATGTTATTTTATGAGCATGCGGTAAATTGAATAGTGGACGACGTTTTGATACAGACCAAAGAGCAATGGATCTGAAAAATTTTATTTAAATTTAATATCTTAAGTTCTTCTCAATCAATCTTCACGAGTTTTTCAGATTAGATTCCTCTAATAAGTCTTCATTATCATACGATCTTATATCAAACAGATCTCGAAATATTATACGAAACAAAGTTCGAAAGATTTATTTTTAATACTATCTATTGATAAAAAAAAAATCGTTGTTTAACCGATTTGTTTTCTTGTCATTTGACTTTCAGAGACTGGTGAATTTATAATCAACAGACAATACTTTTCGCATATGAGATTGATTGAAGATTTCATTGTAATTTTTATTATACTCTTTCTAAATATCAGATATATAGTCATTCCTTGACTTTCTATCGCGTGAAGTTAAAAATAATCCATTTAAAAATGATCGGGGTGATGTTGAATAACATCTAGTAATTGGGAAATAATCTTAAAAAAAAGATGAGAAATTTGTATTATTCTTTGTTTATAAAAACTGTAAAACAAAAGTTAAAAATTTGATTGTTACGCGAAATTACAAGATGTATAACACTTCATAGCTGACGACGAAACATTTTCAACTAATCAATCACTTTTGAATTCGAACTCTGTTCATGAGGTAGACTTCAGTGAGCTATGAAAAATTTCAAAAGGATAAGTTCCCTTAGGCCCTCTGTCCAGAATTATCAGCATTTTATTAGAATTTTAGCCTCTGGTTTGATATATACCAACAAATCGAATGATGATATTTCGATCTGAGATTTTGTCCACAGACTGATCTATTTGTCAGTAGAATGCACTGAAAATTTCAGCTTAAAAGAATGTTTCCTTCTCAAGATATTAAAGTCTCAAAAACCAATTTTTAGCATCTTCCGTGGAATGAGTAATTTTTAGAACTTGAATGTCTTGAGAAGGAAACATTCTTTTGATCTGAAAACTTTGAATTTCAATCATATTTCGAGCAAGACAAACAAAATTCTTTCTATATATAATCTCAAGTATTTTTAACGCGTTTAGCAAAACTCTTGTGTTTCAGAAGTTTTTCGATAGATAAC